TGTTAGCTGAAGAGTAAAAGGTTTGCATCAGTTAAAACATCATGCAACAAACTGGCCAGAAGCTTGGATTTCTTTTAATTAACCAGTGTAACAGCAGGATCTTAACACTGCAAGAAGGGTTTAAAACTGACCAGCAAGCAGGAGCAGACAGGTTAATGGACGGTGTTTAAAACACTGGAGGTGGATGGCAATTGGGAAAGCTTTCATACAAACTTTTCATCAAATTGGAGAAAGCCAAATGTTTTCAATTTATTATTCATGTTAAGCAGAACAACAACAAACAGGCAAAATTAAATCAGCTTTTTTTTTAAGAGTATTGGAACTTTTAGCAATTTCCCTAGTGAAAACTACAGAGCAATAAAAATATTTACCCTAGGGATACCATGGGATAAATCACCGTATCTTCTCCCACATCATGCACCTGCACAGCAGCTCAGGTCCTTGCTTAAGGTTATCAGAAGAACTGTAGTAGTCAACAGGACAAATCATAATACTAAGATAAACCTAGCAATCTCTGAAAGGAGATGCATAATATAGAATTTCACCCAATTGGTACACGTATCTATTGTCAGGATCCTTCCCAGCCAAGGAGGAAAGACATGACTGGCCCTTGCATGTATTCTGATTTCTCACAACCTTTATTCTAAAGCTACTAACAAATAACGAAATAAATGAACATTATTCAAGAACATTCACCCATGAAACATTGGTCTGCTACAACTGTCAACATCCCATAGCATTAGCATGCCTTTATAGTGCATAGAATATTCATACGACAGACAGTCCGGATGAAAAGAAAAAAAAAAGGAGTTGTTCTGAACAGCATCAACAGAGATTGCAAGAACCAACACTGCAGCTGTTTGTGTTGCTTCTGCCAGTCTGAGGTTGAGTATGCAGGCTGGATCGCAGGGAAAATTTCCCTGTGATGACCCTAAAAGTCCCATGACGTGCCCACCACAGCTGATCCAGGCAGCTGAAATCTCTCCTTTTACACCCTCCACCCTTGGGACAGGCAGTTTTATTAAGACACCATGTGTGTAGTCCAGCAAATCACCCATCTGTGAACAATTTAATTAGAAGCCTATCCTCAGAGTAATGTGCTCATACGATGGCAGCCCACAGCCGGAGAATACTAACAACCTGGGGTGAAAGCAGGGGAAATTCACCAGTCTGAGCTCAGAGAGGAACCTCTGAAACTTCAACTCTGCTTTCACCACAGCCATTGATCCTCTACAGCTAGTCATTTACCTGCCCTCTGCCTTTGCTCCTCCAGCTGTGAAATGCCCATAAAAATACTGAGCCACCTTGCACAAATCTTGACTTGCAAAAAGGAAGCCCACATGGAAGCAGACGTTGTTACTCTTGTGATGTGGAATGCATGTATGTTATATGAATATCTCTGTTACAATTACACCTTCTTAACCATGGTGTGGTTTGAACAGCCACTATAATGGTACAAATAGGTAACAGCATAAGCCCTTTGCTTTTCAGAGTCATTCTTAGAGGGTTAAATTATATTCCCAATTTGAACCACATTGTTGTGATGAGGAACTTGGGATATGCCTCAAAAATCAGAGTTGACTTACAGCACTCTCATGTCAAGGGCAATTGCTGTTGTTTGCTACAGAACATAAGTGGATCGGGCAGGCAATGACCTTACAAGAAGCAAACACGGGTGAAACAACAGGACACCTGGCAGTAATTTTCAGTGCAAGACAAATAGCTGGATAGACAACAACTGTATAATAACCAACATCATATGGCAGCTGAGAGCAGGAAAAGACAGTGTGCGGTTTTATAGCAACAATGAAAGAACACAACTGAGCTGTAAGTGCCCAAATGTCCTGAAAAGAAAGTGCTAAGGTGACGATAGGTAGTGCTTCATACTAGCTAGAAGTGATTTTTGAACTGTTAGCCAATGAATCTGTCATTAAGCAGTTATTTGTTCTAAATTTATGTGATGGGAAGACTTGGGACTTCCAAGTCCTATACTTCTACTCCTTCTACTCACACTAAACCAACAGCTCACTACTTCTAGCTCTACTCCTTCTACTCACACTAAACCAACCTGTGCAAAACACTGCACAGGGTCTACATCATTAGAATTGGCACACTTTTTCACCAAGACCTTCAGCACCATGTCAGGGAAGAACATCAAAAAGAGCACTGAGCCAGGCATTGTCATTCTCGTCCCTGTAAATATGGGCCACATTCTTTGTAAATGCCATAGGAAGTCAGAGATGTCAAAAAGAGCAGGCCAGCTGTTGGAAAGGACACACGCAATGAAGTCATGGCATGGCTGTCCCAGGTCTAATAATTCCCATTATGATCAAAATAAACACAAAATATCAGACTCACGGTAGCAGTGCCCCTTCAATCCTATAGCACCTTCCACATAGAATTCATTCACCAAACACAAGCCCTATAAAACAGGCCCCACAGAAGGGCTGGCTGCCCTCGTTCCCCCAGGGTCTTGCTTGGGCTTTTTGTCCCCATCTGTTTTTCCATGTACATGTGTTTAACACATTGCTCTCCTCCTCCTCTTCTGTCTGCTCTTTCTTAGAAGCTCTGGTTCTTCATTTGGAAAAGGTTAAACCAATCCCAAATTATACAAAATGAATCCAAAAGGTTTGGTCTTTGTCTTCAGTGGCAACAGATGCAGACCCAGGAACAGGAATTAAAGTCACTGATGCACTACAGCTGCCTTTAGGGTAATATGACAGACTCCTATAACGAGCTCCCTGTTATTGAACCACAAAATTATAATGTCTCAGCTTATGCCCCTATCACTTGATTAAACACAATACAGCAAGGCAATGCAGTATGGCTTCCAGAAGGAGGAGATGTTGATAGTTCAGTGAAGATAAGCAGATAACTTAAGAAGATAACTTTGAAGGTAGAATCACGAAACACAAAGAAGCAGTCAGATGATTTCAAAGTTGTCAGAAGAAGATCTTTGAACCTAAGCTGTACTGTCATAAATAGCAGCAATGTGAAACGAACCTCCCCAGCTCTGACACTGCGCATCAGCCCAGGGCCTTTGAAAACCTGGAGCATGCAGACCCATACAAATTACAGCAAGCAGTTAAGATACAGCCTCACGAAGCACAACTGAATAATGCAGAAAGGATATGTGAAAAGAAGAAACACGCAGTTCATCTGATCGTGACTGTTACACTCAATTTAGTGCTACTCCACGCTGGTAATTGGTAAACGGATGTCTGAATCAACTCAGGTTCAGGACAACATGAAAACATCACCAGAAATATCAGTAAGAAATGCAGGGTCTTTTTCTACTTCAGGAGTAAACAGGTTTTTCCAACTTTTCAGAGGTTTTAGTCCTAACCTCCTTTCTGATGCTCTCAGACTTGGGAAAAGATCCGATGTTTCTGAAGAAGGGTTAGCAAATGTCTTCTTGTCAGAGACCAGATGCACTACCAGAAATTTGAGCCCAAGCTTCTGGCACAGATTAGAGTTTCTGGGAAAAGAGCTCTTTTCACCTAAGTTCAGCTCTGAATCTTGATCTAACTTCACAAAAAAAAAAAAAAAAAAAAAAAAAAAAAAAAAAAAGCAGGCAGTGCCACAGAGTCGTTCATCTGCCCTGTTTTAGACCTGTATGAGTTGCCCTCACAGGCACGTACCTCTCTCCTTGGATTATAAAGGGGCCCAAAAGTGATGAGCTCAGATTTAGATAACTAACTCTGAGAACCCTAAAGGTAAAGTGGATGAATTATGTCCTCAAAAATAGCACCTAGTCTCAGGGTTATGGTTCCATTTTCTTAGCACACAACAGTGATTTAGTTGACTATCCACTAGCACTAAAATAGCAAGAATACCAAACGTGAGCACCCTTTTCTTCACATTCCTCCCTAAATTTACTCTGCTGCCCTTCACAAGAGCTGCCCACTGACAGCTGAAAAAGTGATGGTGTATATAACAAGACCAAAAAAAAAAAAAAGAGGAAAATCTAGAGCAAGAGCTGCTAGATGCTAGCGTAGACCAAGCATGCCAGGTTGACATATGTTTGCCTTCCTAGTTAGCTCACACCCTTCCCATGATTAAATGAGAGATCATCTGGATTGAAGGAAATTAGTATCTGTTCATTAGTCCTGTGAAGGTCTGGTAGCATACCGAGCATACAATCAGTAGAAGCGGTCAAAATATCAAGTTTATTGCAGTTTTTTCCCACAAAAGCTAAAAACAGCACTTTGACCAAGTTCTTTTAAGATTTCTCATTGAAATAAAAACTTCTCCACGAGAGAATTTGAAAAAATAAGACGTTCTTGTTAACAGAGCACGAGCTAACCCCAAAGACATGGTAGTTTGGGTTCTGTTTGTTGGTTCTTGTCTCTGGTAAGGTCTCAGGGAGGACAGGGTTTGTCCTGGTACCAACAAGGCTGGTGAGAAATATTGGAAGCACTTGCCTGGATCACAAAGGAAAGGTGATCAAATCCAATCTGTAGTGAAGTACAGCATATCAGTACCTCATTCCTAATACTTGCACTAATACAATTTAGAAAAGAACAATTCCAGTTTGGGGAATTAAATGTTTTATTTTCAGCGAGGAAAGAGGAAAAAATAAATATAACTCCTTTAATGAAAGGGCTTTATCTAAAAAAGGTTAGGAAGTTTCTGGACTAACTTACTCTGGCTGAGAAATGCTAAGCAGCCCATGAAGAACTTTCCCCAAGTTCTAGTACCACAAGGTACAGTTATTGTTAGCTTTGTGGTTGTTGTTGTCGATGTTTGTTTGAACTAATTGATCCCAGTTCAGCTCTCAGTTGTGCTGATCCCAAAATCCTCCTCATAGCTGATGCTGCTTGGGTATGGTATTGGGAATCTCAGCAGAGCCCATAGTGGGGTAAATGAGGGAAATAGATTACTTTAAATGAAACAAGATTAAAACAACTTAAGGAAGGGTGGGGATTATTTCTTATGAGGAACAGCTGAGGGAACTGGGGCTGTTTAGTCTGGAGAAGAGGAGGCTCAGGGGAGACCTTACCACTCTCTACAGCTTCCTGAAGGGAGGTTGCAATGAGGAGGGGGTTGGCCTCTTCTCACAGGTAACTGGGGATAGGACCAGAGGGAATAGCCTCAAGTTGCACCAGGGAAGGTTCAGGTTGGAAATGAGGAGACATTTCTGCTCAGAAAGAGCAGTCAGGCACTGGGACAGGTTGCCCAGGGAGGTGGTGGTGTCACTGTCCCTGTCAAAGAGAGGTTTGAATACTCACTGTTCAAAGAGAGGTTGGATGTGGTGCTTAGGGATGTGGTTTAGTGGTGACATTGGTGGTAGGGGGGTGGTTGGACCAGATGATCCTGGAGGTCTTTTCCAACCTTAATGACCTTGGGCAACCTCTATGATGCCCAAACTGTATGTGTGCTCTTGCCTGTTACGTTCATTCCCAATTGATCACTGCTGTGCCTTACTGTGCTTCTGCCTGATCATAAAATACAGTAAATGAGTTTTTTTCAATGCTGTTTTTTCCTACTCCAACCAGGCCTTTATCTCTTTTTAAAATGCAGTCCTGGAAAAGGCAGCCCATGAGCTCCAGCCCACTGGACTCATCCAGAAGCAACCTGAAGGATCCTGGGGGGCTGAAGCCACCTGAACGATCCCCCTGGTGCTGGCTGCAGCAGATAGAAAGTCGCTGCAAAGAGGCAGGCCTACTTCCACCCGATTTATTATTCAAGTGTAAAAGTTTAATGCACCTATTTGAACAATTAAAGTATGCTCTCGAGCGTAGTTGTCTTTTTGCTTCTGAAGAGACAATGGCTCATGAATCACTAAGTGCTACGGCCGGCACCCCAGCACGGACTTATTCATGAGTTGCTTGTTTCTTTGTATACACCCAGGAGGAAGAAAGAGCTTTAATAATAGACACCATTAAAGAGGATTTTAAGAAAATTAGCAACCTCACACAAAACTCATTGGGCTTCTGGGACAGATTGCTCACAGCTGGAAGCCCGATATGTTTAAGGGTGGCTGATCCTACTCTACTACAATTTTTATAAGATTTTGGCAGTCCTGCCATAAAAGTGTCTGTAGTACAAAGCATGACTGGAAGAAGCAGGACCTTCCTTTGGGAAAGAACTGAGTTGGCTTTGCTGCAATTTGCTCAGTATTTTGGGGGGATATTCATATCAACATGGTGCAACTGATGATAATACTCCAATTACATTTAGTATCCAAGCAGGAAAGAGGAATTAATTTCAGGGTTACCTTTGGTTATTAAGGCTTTGGAGTGCTCATGACCAAGTGTCTGTAACTCACAGGGCAGAAGATTTAAATTATCAACCTGTGTAAGATTTGCTTTCTTCTTTGGTTTTGAAGAAAATGATGCCATCACTAAACTTTTCTTTCATGGGCATTAACAATTTATTTTGCAGTGTTATTCTGCTGCTGTGCAAACCACGATGGCAACTGCATCCAGCAGCTTTACAGTTTCAGTTTTGATGCATTTGGGAATGTATTGGTTCAGAAGACTGCATCTTGCCAAATACTGGTAATTGTATTCCTTCTTCAGAAAAATATACTAAGTAAAGTGAATGTTTCTGGTAGAGTTGCCCAAAAAATCTTCCCACCTCTACCAAAAAATGCTATTTTGTCACAGCCAATATTTGCGTTAATTCAATCATTCATTGTAACATCCACACAAGATGAAGTCCAATACAGAAGAATACCAAGGTGGGGAAAAAAAAATACCACAATTTCAAAGCAACTTCTGCTTGAGGAGAAAGACTTGCAAGCCTTGATGTTCATGCAATGTGCATAGCAGGCTAGTTGCAGCTGCCAGGCCTGATTTGTGGCAATACTCCAGAACAAATTGTTCGATTTATAATTCCATAAAGCTATCCAGAGAAACGTAGAAGTCAAGCTGGGTTCTTTTTTCCCTTCTTGCATGTTGCCATCAGGAGGAAAGATTCTTAGAGACAAATTAGATGTTAGATACGTCTCTGTAATCTTGGAGCCTTACAGAGGTTACAGGATGGTAACTCATACAAAATAGTGAAGTGAAAAGACTGAGGAAAAAAAAAGCATTAACAGTGAAAAGCTGCAAAACCTGCAGAACCCACGACCCCACAGCATGGAAAGTTGAGGGTACTGATATGTCCTTCTATGTATGTACAACTTGCATGTTTAAATATTATTCTGACATCAAGAACTGTAACACTGGCTTAAAAAATTATTTTTTTCAAAAAAAAATAATGAAAACTGTATTTGTCATCATTACCTGACAGCACACAGTTTACATTTCTTGTATAGTAGAAGAAACCATAGTAGAAGCATTCTGCTTAAACACAAAACATATTCATATAAAAAACAGCATGACAAAAACTTAGAGCCTTAAGAAAATAAAATAGTCCATTATTTGATATCACTCTGCCACTGCAGATACACGGGTTCGATTTATGCTGGTAAATTAAATGGTGCCAAGGGACGTTCTCAGGCACTGGGGTAACATAAGCTGTATAGTTCGGTTGTAAGCATGATCCATGGCACCATTTGGGCCATGGCCAATTGCCACTGAGCCAGCTAATGCCAGAGCACGACTCGGGAATTAGCACAGTCCTGAGACCATCCCAAAAGCAGTCTGCATGTGGTCACTTTATTGGGAAAGGCATGAGAGTTTAGTAAGAGCAGGCTGTTCCCATGCAAGTGGATGCCAGAGAAGGGTTGTGAGTATGTTTAATTTATAAGCATTGCTATAACCACTCAGAATTGACATGGGAAGCAAGATGCTGCATTTCAAAGTTAATACAAGGCTTGATACTACCCTTAAAGAGAGTTCCAAGTTCACAGAAAATTAAATAGTGTTCAGTTTACCTGAAATTTGGTAGAAAGAAGCCTAAGTCTGCCACTGAACCAACAACTCAATGCTGTTTTGCTATGTCAGAGGTGATCCTTAGTTACATTCTCAACCATTTTAAATAGCATTAACATTGGTTTATCTTCATCACAACCAAATAATTGCAGTTCTTTAGAAAAGTGTTGATTGCAGAGGTTCATAGAGTAAATAATTTCCAGATATACAGAAATAAAATGTTTAAACCCTACTAGAAGCGTAAATACGGAACAAATCATCATACAGGCTCCCATCTCCATCCCACAGAGATGGAGAACCCAGGTTATCTTGCTGAGATGTGTTCTTCATTGAAGCTAGTCTGTTCTCACTCCCTGGACACTCAGGACATGGGCTACTCTGGCTGGTCACTGCATGATAAATTCCAGGTGAAGGAGGGAAAAAGCATAATATAACACAGAAACATTACACTTTGACTGTATCCTCTCATAATATTTCCCACAAGAGGTCACTAACTCCTTAAAGCCAGCAAATTGTAAACTGTGTATCCATGAAGTGCGTGTTATGGGAAAACAGTTTGTAATCCCCCTATTAATCCTTGGCACTGGGGCACACGCAGTATAATTATAGACTGTGGTAGAGTAATTTGAAAACTTTATTTCACCGGGCCATAATTATATCGTGGCTGTAATCCTTTAATTGCCAATATCATTTAATGTGTTATAGACATGCCGTATGACTAGATGAACAAACGTACTAAAACATCCTGCAAGCAAGCCACAGTAAAGGCAGTAGCATAAACTGTCATGCAGGCTATTAAACAAAGATGAACAATTAATAAGCAACAGAATACACAGCCTAGACACATCAGGATTTCTACTCTCATGTTGTGTACGCGTTGCACTAATAGTTGGTTTTCTAAAGTACCCTACTGGATGCATAAAACTACTGAAAGAAATGTGTCATAAATTGCCACCTATGTCAACCAACCATCAAGCAAGGGGCAGAAACAGACTTCCAGCAATGCTCAGGAAAGAAGTTACGAGGACTTACCCTTACGTAAATGCTGACCCAGTCCAAAATGCAATTAAACTACAATAGACCATACATCCAGTTGCTAATGAGAACTATTCTTCTGGTCATCTCTTATTTACATTCTTCACACTGACACTGTCATATTTTGGTTTTATAATGGAAAATAAAAGCCAAGGAAGCAGAGAGTTTGCTAAGTGAAATGTTTAAGAACACACACAATGCATGGGACCAGAAACAAAATGCTTAAAAGGAAACATAATTTGGAGCCTAGTGGTTAGTCTCAGGTAGGTAAATCATTGTTCAAAAATCTCTTCACTGATCCAAGAGTTACTTGTATTTCTAACCAGCGATTGCCAATACAAATGCATAAACAGTTCAAGTACAGAAACTAGAACTTGGTCCCTTTGCCCACTCCAGTCTCTGATGGGCTCTCACATCCTCTCCTGGTGTAAGAGACTTCAGGAGCACAAGAAACCACTTAAACCTAACGAGAAATTTCCTCAGCAGCTGTTCTGCCCCAAGGTTAGTTCTTTAGAGGCAGGCATCACCTGCCACATTTAAGAAGACTCAACCCTGCTAAGTTAGTGAACTCTGAATGAAGATAATGAAAAACCCCAGAAACATCTGGTTGCTGGGTCTGAAGTGTCCCTGAAGCACTTAATCAGCTGCTCCAGAGAAGGGACAGGGTTTAGGACACAGACAAAAAGTGTTATCTATTCATATACAGCATCTACCACCTGTCAAAGGCAATGAACGAGCTTCCCCTTGTAAAAGTGGCTGCAGCTCTTGTCATTACCCTGCAAGGAGCTGGAAAAACAATCACACAGCAAACTACTGAAAAGTTGTCCAAGATGAGTGCAGATCTAGTCAAACTACACTGCCCCTTTACTTATTGATATACAATAGACTTAATAGGTCACCGCTTAGGGAGCATAATGGAGATGCCCATGACCGCAAAGGCATCACAAACCTTGTGTGTGGTGGCCATCACCCTCAAAAATACCCAAGGCTTTCAGTCTTTTCCAGTCTACATCCACTCTTTTTTCTCTCCCATGCAGTCAGAGGGTTAAATATCTCCCATTACAGGTAGCCCTGTCACTCCTTGCCCCAATTGCAGAGGATGACGAAATAAAGAAAAAATCCCTTCGGGTTAGCACGATGCAGTGTTTGTTGGGAAATGTGAGATCTTTGATTTTAGAATAGCTGATGTAACTGGGAGGCTCCTGGGACCACAAGGAGAGCAGCAGCAAACTTCAAACTAGACATAGCTAAAAAACAGTGACTAATAATATAACCTAGTTATGCTCATCAGCTGAACTCAACAGAACTCAGAAGGAAATAGCAGTAGAGAAGCAGGAAAGGTGACAGGGAGTTTGCTTACTCATTTACAGGTACTTATGAATCCTATGTCTCTCCCCAGTGTGACACCTAGCTTTTTGTTGTAATAATTTGTAAAAAATGTAAATACCATTTAAATCCCTAGGAAGTTATAAAGTGCTCCCTCCCCTTCCCAATTCCACTAGAGAAAGAGATGAAAAATAACCCAAAGTGCCCTAATTTACCTTGACCTCTGCTTCCAAGGCAGCAGACTTTCTTAGGCTAGCTCCAGAGCCTTTCATCGGCCTGGCAGGGGAGTGCTGCAAGACATAAATGCCACTCACACTGCATATAGAGGCGGAGTGGTCAGAATTTCCTTTGTGACCAATGTGAAAAGTGCTGGTGCACACAAGAAAGCCGCTGCCACACAGGGGCTCTGTGTTGGATGCTGTGGGAGCACAGCATGGCAGCTGTTAGACATGTGCTGTTTCCTGAGGCATATCAAACCTGCTATGCTAACACACTTACCTTGCACATGAATAAGCTGCAGCTTACAGGAGTTACTTTTAAAAAATTCACAGAACAAGGTATGGAGCGTACCAAACAAATAACAGGTTGGCACAGTTAGGCAAGCTGTGAACATTAAGCAGGACTGCAAAGGCTGTTCATTGCAAGAATGTTAAAGTAAAACACGCTCGTGTCATTTGGGAGCTGAAGCAACACAGCACTCATCCTTCAATCATCACTGATCTTCATGGGTGTAGTGTCAGTCGTCCTCTGTGAGCATGCTCCCTCACCACCTGGACCATCCACAGAGACCAAAATCAAGGCTAGGCTGGGATTTTCCTCTAACTTTGAGCCTTTCGCAATTAGATGTAATATTTGTGCTAGACACCATAGCCTTTTCTAGTCAATAGAAAGGATAAAGCACTACCAAAAAGGATGAGTCAACTGACCTGCTTTAGTTGCACATCTGAGGAAGAGACAACTTGCCCTCAAGATACAATTATGCTACTCCCTTTGAAGCCAGAGTGACCATGTCAGACATCTGCACCCCCCTTTTCATAGTTAATTCAGAGCAGGCAAGCGCTACAGCACTAAGAGGCAGCCCCCTAGGAAAAGACCAGAAAAGACAAAAAGCATACAGAAATGAAGCGACTTCCCCAAAATGATGCAAAGACTGACAGTGACAGATGGCAGTAAGAAACGGCAAGTGCCATTTGCAGGATTGCAACATTGCAGGATCAGTAATCCCAAAAGGGAGCCTTTTTCACTGATTTTGGGCCAGGCTCTGAATATCAACAGGACGATCATCACGTCTGAAACAAGAACAAAAGAAGCCACAGAAGCAAGCTATGAATACTTGCAGTTCCTCATCATCTTCTACCACATAGGTTCAGCTTGCTGTGAGGGACAGAGAAGAAGCCTAAAAAGTTAAAAATCATATGGACACTCATTTGCTACTTTCCTTCCTGGTATTTTTCTTTACATTTTGAAGAAATGTTCTTACTAAAGTCCAGCATATGAAAATGAGGAAACCATAGTTTTACCTGAGCTTTCATTCACTGTAACTATCTGTCAGCCACTATGCAGCACTTCTTAATATTATGCAACGCACTCTTCAATTAAGCAGGAGGTTGCACATCTCTTCTGAGTATCCCTGGTGGTTTTAAATAAGCTTTTCACATGTTCCATCTCCAACGCTTGTTTGGCACAACAGTAATTTTTCCAGATGAGAGAGAACCTAGTTATATCATAAAGAATGAATTATTTAAAGAAAGATCAGCACTCCGGTTCACGTCAAGACTTCACTAATTGTATTTAATTGAAAGTACCACGCTGAACATATGCACAACAGTCTTCAGGTTCATAAAAGCCTTAAGTGCTTTTAAATACTACTGCAAAAGGAAAAAGGCTCAGGGGATCAGTAGCAGGAAACAATACCTTCCACTTCTGGAGCATTGACTCAAATCAAGTCAAAGTTAATCAAGGCTAAAATACATCATCTGCTAATTGGTTGATGGGGACAGATAAACCCCATTCTCAACAGGCATGTGGTATCATAAACTCAAAGTCAGAAGCCCCAGTTATAATT